ACCCTGTGCCAGCGCCTCAGCACCCTCACAGGGAAGAGCTTCTGCCTCAGAGCTCATCTGGCCCTCCCCTCTGGCGGGTTCAAGCCATTCCCCTTGTCCTGTCCCTCCATCCCTTGCCCAAAGCCCCTCTCCAGGTTTCCTGGAGCCCCTTTAGGCGCTGGAGCTGCTCTAAGGTGTCCCTTCAGGAGCCTTCTCTTCTCCAGCTGCCCCAGCCCAGCTCTCTCAGCCTGGCTCCACAGCAGAGCTGCTCCAGCCCTCGCAGCAGCTCTGGGGCCTCCTCTGGACTCACCCAAGCAGGACCAGAGATTCATATTCAAACATTCAGGGTCAGTTTCCTTCTTGTGCCTAGAAACCTGTGTAAGAAAATCCCACCACTGGTTTCTACATGTACATGACACAACAAGGCTTGTGCTGACTCCCCTGTGCATCTCTCTGGCCCTTGCTCAGCATAAAGAGAAAGTCAGATCAGACGAAGGCGTTTCAGCAGCTCCCTCGCCCTGGCTACTGAGGCACCGATGTGACACAGACCAGACACCACAGAAGTGAAGATGTGATGATGTAGCAGGAGAGAAGACACCGGCAGCTTTAGGAAAGAAACGAGCCACCCTGCAAGGCACAATTCAAAGGAACTTCTAAGAGCATTCCACGTGCTTACAAGTGGGTATGTAAACATCATTAAAACCTCAGAGCTGCTGATAGCCACAGGAACAGCCCCTGCCTGAGAGGTCACTGAACCTCCCGCCCAAGCTGCAATAACCAAATTACTACCGGATTTTGTAAACTCACTTTTAGCTACTGGGAATCACGAAATGCAGTTTACAGAAGTTATCCTTAGAGGAATAATGTTCCTTCTGATATTATTCCATATTTCTGCTCAACCCATCTTTCATTACACTTCTACGAAGTTACTGGATGCTTCTGAATGGCTTCGGCCATTTAAATGCCATCAAATAGTAAAACAAAGCTTCCATACAACTTCAGACTCATTAAAAGCTTAATTTCTCTTTCCCCCTCCTTTTTCCTATGAAATTATATCCATTTAAGTGAGAAGCAGAGACGGGTCAGTAATGTGCTGGCAGAAACTGTTTCCATGTTAAATATGGTTACCTACAGACTATGTATGTGAAGTGCAAACCAATTCTCATCTCTATCTTTATCCTTCTTTGTACACCTCACTGGTTTATCAAGGATTCAAAGCCTCAACTGGAAAATCCGGATCCACCCCTCTGAAGTCAGGGGTGGATTTCCCCCACTCACTGGTGGCAGCAGCACAGCGTTGGTTCAGAAAAGCCACTGATGATGATGATGATGGTGTCAGGTTCGGAAACGCAGAGAGTGAAGACCTCACCCTTCCTGCAGGCCCACATTCCACCTTTAATAAGGAAGCCAAGAAAGAGCCACTAAATAATATTGATTCTCAGTGCCCACAACCATGAAACAGAAAATGCCACCTTGTGACAGCAGCACTGCCTCATCCTTACTGAGCAGGGAAAAGCTACACACCAGCCAAGGTGCCTCTGTCTCTGAGTTGCAGGTACGACCAGTTTAAAGTTTCCATCTAACTGCAGCTTCAAGGGATGCTAATTCCCTCTGCCAACTACTTTATTAGCAAACTTACAGGAAATGACAGCATTTCTTTTCACTGCTGAAGTTCTGCCCTTACCTCTCATTAGGTCTTATTTGTATCTATCTAGCAGCATGAAGTGATGAAGAAACCCTTCTGGAATCAAGAACCGATTAAGAATTGGGAAATTGAGATTCAGAGAGTATTCCCAGGGGCTTTTATTAAGCCCAGCAGCTGGAAACCCTCCACTGGCAGCTCCCCCTCAGATACCATGACCACAGCCCATCCCAAACCAATACTGAAGCCCAGACTGGCAGCAGCTATGGCTGTTTACATCCAGGCAGCTAAACCCGATCCAGCGCTAACAGTTAATTCTCAGTTGCAAAACGAGGTCCCTCCAAGGCATTACTAATGGGGAAAGCATGCCCTGCCTCCCCAGCCCCTCCCGAGGCCCCAGCCCGAGCTGTTCCTGCAGGAGCGATCCCTGTGCTTCCGGAAGGCTGGATCCGCCAGCACGTGGCAGGGAAACGGGAGCTGCCCAACACGGAGCTTCCCGACACCTCCGCTGACAGCCCTGGTGTTGGCGTGATGCGGCCCGAGCAGGAGCCTGGGGGATGCTGGACTGTGCACAGGGCTTGACATCGCACCCCAGCGCTGGCAGAGCAGAGCTGCTTTAATGGAGCTGGTCCCATGGGAAAGGAAGGTCTCCAAGAAGTGAGCTTTTGCTGGACAGAAGGTGTCAGGATACCTGCGACGCCAGGACCTTGACATGAGTCAACTGGTACGAAGATTTCCAATTAAAACTGAGCAGTACATCTTAAAAGACTGGTTTTAAACCCAAACCTGAACTATCATTTGTTACAGCTATCATCACCCCTTTACTGAATAGAGGATAAAACTACTGAATTCAGGAAAACCAGTACTTTCAAACTGCTTTTCACAGCGAGCAAGCACAACATCCTGTACAAGCGGCTGGTGGTGGGAGCTCCTCATCTCCTCACCATCCCCTCCTGCACTGGTACAACTGGTTCAGCCCTAAGCCAGCCAACCTGACTGGAAATAAGCTGACAGAAAGAGCTACTTCTCAGCCAAATCAGCTCCAAAAACTCACCCCTGGGACAAACAACCTGGCACAGCTCTGGGGT